ATTGAGTTACTAAAGCTTATACAAAAGATAGATTGTGTGAAAGTTAGGATTTTTGTGGTTTTTTTTATTATAGCATCCACCCCCACATTTTTTAAGTTTATAAACCGGACAAAGGACGGGTACCCAAGCTTGTATAATTTATAGTTTCAGTTTCTTATCCGCTTACAAGTTCAGTCATCACAACTCTTAGCAATGTAACTGGAACACGTTTTATACAAAAGCACCAAGTGGCTAAAAGATGCACCTTCACACAGTTAATAACTTAAAAATAAAATTACTATGATTTTAATAGTTTCACACTTCAAATTCTTCTAATGTTACCAACATACGAACTGTGTTGTCTTCCAAAATTTTTAGTGCATACTATAGAGTTTTACACAGTTTGATAATAAAACATGAAAAAAAACGACCTTCACACTACACATAATTACAAGAGAACTTATATTTTAACCGACGTTTCGCCTTTGCGGTTTCTTCAGGGCTAGTATTATCTATCTGTATTGGGCCAACCACGAATATCGAAACCCAAGTTTTAGTGTTATAAGCCCTCAGACTTACCACCTCTCTACAGGGGAGGGCGCAATTTGCAGATAGGCAGATCGACCAAAGAAAGCATTGGATGGGGGAGGGGGGGAGAGAAATCCTGCCTAAGAGATTTCTAAGGATTTCTGGTAGAGCTTTTTATTTTCCAGGGAATGTTTCGACCTATGATCCTTTTTATTCGAGTTTAATTTTCATCTCCAAAACAAGATGCAGGATCAGTGTCAAGGATAGGCAACATATGCTGCTGCTTACGACGTCAAATACTTGTGGGCTCCAGGGTGAATGGGGCGCACCCTTAATTTCTGCTTAGGGCGCTAGTTAAGCTATCGCTAACCCTGCTGACGAGTTAACCATTTCAGGTCTACAAAGATCTAAAGTCCGATGCCGACATGCGTGAGAGATACGATAATATTATGAGAGAAAAAAAAAAGATTCAACCCCATGCAGCTTTGTTCTGGTCGAGTTAAAGTTTCATGTCACATTTTAACGTGAGAAAAATCCAAATATATCATTAAGAGTTTTATACTACTTGATTAGTCTAAAACAAGCTTAAATACACAATTTTACGTCACTTAATAAAGCTGCAAACACATACCTTTGTAGTCGTGGTTGTCAACCGTCCTCATGATGTCTAAAAGTTGTTGTTCTAGAGGAAATCTCAAAGTGTCCAGAGGACTAGTGTTCAGGTTTCCACCCAGCTGCCGATCCTAAAATGAAACGAATAAAATCCGGTTAAAAACAAAAAGTAAAGTTCACAAACTCTAAGTATTTCGTTTTCTGAAAAATAGAACAACTTTAGATCAACAGATATGTTTGGAACACGGTGACGTTTTTTAAAACTCTCACGCGTGCCGTATTATTCGTTGTGTGCGCGTAAGTGTAAGCTTTTATCTATAACACAATAAAAAGTGCATCTTTACCACTATATAGAAAGCAACATATTTACCGTAAAGTGAAATATTTCTTCGCCCATTACCAAAATATAACATGCCGTAAGTAGACAGTCTAGTTAGCGTGACACCGTCTCTAGCTTCGAACCACAGGCAACAAGTCAGCAGTAAGTTATAGCTATATATATGTATACTATTTATTGATTAATTAATTTACTTTATTTATGATTATTACATAGAATATTTTACTCCAACTTCTTCATGTAAATAAGAATATAGTGCATTTTTTATATCAAGAAGTGAAGAACAAGACTGCTTATCGACACTATATATATAGCAACATGCGCAATCCCAGCCTAGAATCAACAACCATGTATCTAATTGCACGAATTAAGTGAATTAATCAAAGTTAACTACTGCATTCTCAAAGTAATTCGAAACCGATCAGCACATTTAAAAGAAAATCAGAAGAATTTAATACATTTTTATTACAATCATTGTGAACAGAAGCTATAAAAACTTAACTAAGTTAGTCAGATGCATGCACATGTATGTATGTATGTATACGCAGATAGATAGACAAAGATGGCAAAGTTTTGTGAAAGCACAAACCAGTCATATCGTTAAATGTTTGTTTTTAGAGCAAAGCCACAATGGGCTATCTGTTGTGTCCACCGCGGAGAATCGAACCCCGGATTTTAGCATTGTAAGTCTGTAGACTTACCACTGTCCCACCGGAGGAGATCGTGAAAGGTGACAGTATCCCAACCAAATCGTACACACTAGATGTTATAAGATTATTTACCAAATGACCATTACCTCACTGTCTCGTTACGAGATTATTTACCAAATGATCATTACCTCACTGTCTAGTTACGAGATTATTTACCAAATGATCATTACCTAACTGTCGTTACGAAATTATTTACCAAATGATCATTACCTAACTGTCGTTACGAAATTATTTACCAAATGATCATTACCTAACTGTCGTTACGAAATTATTTACCAAATGATCATTAACTCACTGTCTCGTTACGAGATTATTTACCAAATGATCATTACCTAACTCTCTCGTTACATCAAGATCTTCGTCTTCCGCATCGTTTCCAGTTTTTGCTCAGGCAAGCAACACACACACACATCTATATTACACGCATGTATGGATCGTTAGTGATAACTAGCAATTCTAAATATTACAGCTCAAATTTTACGGCCACAACTAAACACTAAGTTACTAAGCGCCCAAACTTACAACTGAAACTAACAGCGTATAAACTTTGAAACTAAAGCGCTCAAAGGTTAAGCAGATAAGAATCATACATTTAACGGATAGATCTTGTCAGTACATATTTGATCTTTACTGAACTGGTTATTGGTTTCGGTGATACAAATCCGAGTGGCGCAAACGTAATAATAGCTTTTCACAAACATTTAGTTATTTGACGCTTGGGTCTATGTGCATTCATCATACATGACACAAGTTGTTATGTGAAACAACGGGGCCAACGGATATGTATAATAATAGTCATTGTCTCCTGGTAGTAGTAATAACACATCAAAACGTCACGTCGTCATCTCTTCCTGCTCGTGTGATTAAGCAGATGACGTTGTTGCAGACAACTTCTCAAAGTTTCTTCCAAAATCTATTGCACTATCTGTACATCTTGAATGATGGGTTAATTATTACATTTGACACTATCAAAATAAGTCAAATGCATGAATGTGCTTAAGGCAACAAAGCCTTATGACGTTTAAGAACATCAGGGTCTGCTGCTAATATAAATTTGACAAACTTTCCACACATCTTCGTACTTTCCTTTACCGCCAAGTATTCAAAGCATTAAACCATTCGAGAACTTGTTTTAGTTTGTATGTACGGTTTTAGTGCTAAGCTACACAATGGGCTATGTACTATATCCATCACGAGTAATCGAACTCCCGGTTTTAACGTTAAAAGTCCGTAAACTTACTGATGACCCACTGGAGTGTGTGTGTGTGTGTGTGTGTGTGTGTGTGTGTGTGTGTGTGTGTGGAGGAGGGGGGGGCAGTTGTTTTCAAAGGCTTTGTTGAAAAATACAAAATAAACTTAATAACAGATCACTTTATCAAACTCGGACGTAAGAACAATTTTTGCGTGCAATAAAAAGAAGTAAAAAATTAGCTCTAAAGCAAACACGTATCGTGTGCATATTATGTTTTCCTGCGTGAATGTCAACAATAAGTACTTTGTGTTACAAAGATTTGTACCGCATTCTTACTTCTTCTACAAACAAACATGTTAAGATAAACATATCTATACATACAACAGTTAACGAAACATATTCGAATATTATGAACGAAAAATCGAGATATTACGTCACGTTGATCACAGCAAATCACATGAAATGTTTTCATGTGTCTTAAAAAACAAACCAATTATAGAACAGTAAGAATATTACCTAAAGTGAACACAATTCTGGTAAAAAGTTTTGTCAGTTCAGAAATAATACAAAAGCAATATAGTACGTCACGTTGATCACAGCAAATCACATGAAAACATTTCATGTGTCTTAAAAAAACAAACCAATTATAGAACAGTAAGAATACTTACCTAAGTGAACACAATTCGGGTAAAAAGTTTTGTCAGTACAGAAATAATACAAAAGCAATATTGTACGTGTGTAATACAAACTTAATTAATTCCGTACTAGTCTATTCGTTTGTTCTGGATAATCGCCGTCCCCTAATTATGAAATAACGGACTAAAGAGCAGGCAGTTAGTTAACAGCACCATCCGCAAACTCTTGGACTACTGTTTATTTTGTTTTTGAATTTCGTGCAAAGCTACACGAGGGCTATCTGCGCTAGCCGTCCTTAATTTAGCAGTGTAAGACTAGAGGGAAGGCAGCTAGTCATCATCACCCACCGCCAACTCTTGAGCTACTCTTTTTACCAACGAATAGTGGGATTGGCCATCACATTATAACGCCCCCACGGCTGAAAGGGCGAGCATGTTTGGTGGGACGGGGATTCGAACCCGCGACCCTCAGATTGCAAGTCGAGCGCCTTATCCACCTGGCCATGCCTTGGACTACTGTAATCAAATAGTGGAATTTGACCGTCAATCTTTTGACCTACTCACGAACCCAAAATGAGAAGTGCCATTTTCCTTACACGGGACACGAACAATGGATCTTCGGCTTTACAGTCCGGTGTGTATATATATATATATATATATATATATCGAAATTTGAAAGCAGGCCTCATGTTTATATGTGATTTTGACTTAAGTTTATTTATAAGCTTCAATCAGAGACCATTGTAATAACGTTAAAAAAACTTCAAATGCACAAAGGATACAAAGTCGTAGGCAAGTCTACGGAAAAAGAACAGTCGATTTCTTTAATACTTCTGTAACAACAAAATGACAATGCTGGTGTAGCATATGAAGTTGAGATCTTGAAGTTAGGAAATTTTTTTTGTATTCTAACGCTTTCAGATATATGCAGGCAGTTTCAAAAAGAGAAACGACACAATGTGTTTCATTTTATTTGATTTGGATAACGAATAGATATGTTTGCTCTCACGTTAGCTTAAAAGTACAAATGTATTTGTAAAATAGATTACCAACTCCAATAAGGATGTGATAAGATTACGTATTTAATCACAACGATATTTGCAATGACACGCTATGTGTAAAAAAGCAAAATCTTTTCTCGGTAATGAAGTCCATCTTGCCCGTATGAATAATCAGACAAGCGGGTGGAGGGAAGTATGTTGACAATGAAACGCTTTGAGGTTTCGACTTCTTAAGCTTCTTTACGTATACCCGTTTGTTGTAGTATTAATGGTGTGTTGTGGGCATTATGGAAGCTTAAAAAACAACAACAAAGGCTTGTTTCTTCTTGTATTTTCATTCTATAAAAAATTGGCATAATCTACAGAAATTGAAATGTCGGGGGGGATGTAAAGCAAGAGTAACGCAATAAAACATACCCTACACTTCCCCCCTTTTAAAAAACTATATGACTACTGGGGTCATCTTTAGAAGTATTAACTTAATCCACAATTTAATTTCAGAGTACGTATTAAGCCATTCTTAATTTTGAAGTGGTAAGAGTAGAGGGAAAGCAGCTAGCCAGTTCACCTTTCACATTAAGAAGGTTTTTTTAATTATTCATATCGGTTTTGATATAAACGTCAACTGAACTTGTTAATGTGACCTTCTAAATATAAGATTTTTTTAATTTCAAAAGACTGTGTTCCTATAAAAGAAAAAAAAAGCTGTTTATTGACTGTAATTTATATCTGTAGTATATATATATATATATATATATATTATATTTATTCAAGTCGTCTTTAATAACATTACGTGGAAATACATTTTTATCGAGATTTTTAATGTTATTAAATTCTTTTTACTAAAATAATAAAATTACTACTTATTTTATATGCTTTATGTACTTAATTCCTAACCAATCTTATATATCTCAAAAATAAAGCTATCATAGTTAAAATACAAAGTTAAGTTTTTGTTATGATATGTATCGCATCCATTCTGATTTTCAACCAATGTCTATAAATGATAGTTTATAGCCTTCATGTTCTACTGTAAACCCCCATGTTTAATATTTCCTACTTTGTATAAGTTCTGTTTAAAAACAATAATAGTTATCTATATATATTTTGTAATGAATAGGTTTACATTCTTCAGAACAATCACAGATCAAATATTGTAAGACTAGAGGGAAGGTAGCTAGTCATCACCACCCACTGCCAACTCTTGGGCTACTCTTTTACCAACGAATAGTGGGATTGACCGTCATATTATAACG